ACACACACACACACACACACACACACACACACACACACACACACACAAAACTGTCAAAACATCTGAATATTTTATCTAAAAACAGGTTTGAAGTCGTCGCATATCTATTCTATCAATTCTATTTATTTTAGATCGCCTGATGGTCGCCGAAATAATATCAGACAACAACAGCTGTGTTGAAAAACAACAACAAACAAGACTGAAGAAATAAACCTTCACTCATGGAGAACTCGTGGAGACACTCTGAGGACTGATCGAACAGTCCCCAGTGATTATGGCACCGTTGAGCCCGTCACACGTTTGACCGTCTTTACCTCTTGCGGAGCCGGAACCTCCAGCTTGGTTTCCTCCGGAGCTTTGACCACGAGCACCGTCTGCTCCTGGAAGGCTGCGAGCCGGCTGACGTCCTCGTGGGTCACGTAGGCTGACGTGCACGAACAACAAAGGTCAAAGAAAACCTGCTCATACGATAGATTCAGTCCAACACCAGAGAGTGGATTCAGGCCTCTGGGCTTCGTTTGGACTGTTTACAACAGCTGGTTGATGACCTCATGTTGATGACCTCATCTGTGTTGGTTCGTAACGTGACATCAATAAACCCAGTGATATTGTTGGGCAATAGGAAGCGGACGGATTCATGGATGAAACCTGCAATAACTGCTTTAGCCACATGGGGGCAGCAAAGCAGCTGACAACACATTGACATATATCCCTTTATACATTTTAGCAAATAGTTGCCTTCACAGAGCAACATGTCCTTCATGTTGAGTCATGTATCGGTCAACCTGATGAATGTAAATCTAATATTCTCTCTCTTGGTCTCCACCACCTCCCAAAATAAACGTCTGAGCTCCTGAACGGATGGATGGAAGTCTATCGTGAAAGTAAAAAGGATATTCGGCGTTCCCCTCGTCGTCGGTCATGTCGAAGAGCTGCTGGGCGCAGCTTTTGATGAGCGTGTCCAGCGTGTCCTCCACCAGCTTCAGGTTCTCCAACTCTCTCTGGAACTTCTGCTGATTGATCCCCACAAAGCTGGAGATCTGACAGCTTCCTCTGGACGGACGACAGTCACAGAGAAGGTTTACGGGCAGCACGCTGTTTATTTCATCCGTCAGTCAGGCTCTCATGTCAAAAATGACATTTTAAATCGGCTTTAACGTGGAGAAATAGGGATTAATAAAGAGTATAAATGTGTTCATAAAGCACCGAACTATAATAATACAAGATGAATTCATCTCGTCACTCACATCCACTTGAACGTGTTGGCGGACTTCTTCTTGATGAGGCTGATTCCCTCCAGGACGTTGGTGATGTCGTAGACTCGGCGCCGGCGGGTCTGCAGGCTCGTGGTCACGTGACGGAGGTCCACGCAGCCGTCCGGAGACTCCAGCAGCAGCTCCAGGAAACGCTGCGTCAGCATCCACAGAGACACATCTGGATTACAACGACAAGAGTTACAGCTGGAAGACGTGGCAAAGAAACAAGAACAAAATTATGTTCTAATTCAAACTTTGTGTCTAAGAATAGATGCAACAAAGTGTTTCCTGAGCAGAACAACCCGTCTGTGATAACTCTCTGTCCTTTGATACAGAGACGATTTCATTAAAGGACAGAAACACGCACCGGATCTCTTGGTGCGGATCCTCGTCTGCAGCGGACTGAAGCTGGAACGAAGGAGACGTCAAAACATCGTATGAAACTTTAAATGAAATTAGTCACATCTGTGTTCCACAACATCTGCCCCCAGATGTGAATCACAGCATATATATGGAAACAATAAATAAAAAGTAGAAAGCAGATATTAGACCGAACCAGGAGACTTTGTTTACCTCGTCTTCTTGGCCCCGGAGGTCTTCTTGGGTCCTGGATCCTGAAATTGTTGAAGCTTTTTACTCGACTTTAAATCGGTAAATATAAATAAAGTAGTTGAGAGTTACACTTGACTGGTATGAATAAGAATCTAAGTGTTTAACGTGCTGATGATCTCCTGACCTGCTGTGGAGGTTCTGGTGCCGGAGGCTCCACTTGAACAGGACCATCATCTCCACCTTCATCATCATCATCATCATCATCATCATCATCATCATCATCGCCGTCACCACAGCCTCCACCGCGGGCCCACTGATCCTCCTCCTCGGACGACTCGGCCCCCCAGGGGCTGATGAGGCCCATGGGCCCGTCCAGGTCGGGGGGCATGATGGGGATGGCGTCTCCGTTGACCACGCCGGAGGAGATGTCCTGCGGCAGGAAGTGGTCCTCACAGATCAGGTGCTGCTCTGTCGAGTCCTGCTTGTCCGTCTCCCTCAGCGCCGCCAGCCACACCTGAACACACACACACACACACACACACACACACACACACAGTCACCCGTGTTACCGCTGCTCTGCTGCATCCGTTCACACCGGACACCTCTTCACTGCTTTGTCTTGACTTCACGAACATGAAGTATCTGGACATCTTTCAACGGAAGTTGAGCTCAAATCCAACATGAAAACGTACCTTTGGAGGGGGATACAGTACGAAGGCAATGCTGGGTCTTATGGCATTTCACTACAGTGTCAATGTCTAAATGTGACACAGACAATGTTACAAAGTGCTTTACATAAACTATATGTATCTGTATTATTAATCTTATATCTTTAAGTGTCACTTTTTGTATAAGGTTAGCAATAATAATGAATAATGAATATCGAGTTGATGCCGGTATTTAGACTGCAGAGCAGCCGATATATAGTCGTTGTTTTAGTTGTTTTGCTTCTGATAAAATACAACAATGTATTTAATGATAATGACTGAAACAAACACTTTAACACTGTTATTGTCTGCACAACGCATCGTCTCTGTTTGCTTTAGTATACGTTATAAGGATCACAGAGTAGTTAATTAGTGCAGATCTAACAAAAACGTATTGTTTCATTCATTGATATAAAATAAATTGCTGTTTAATGACACCATGATACCAGATAGCCTTCAATCTAAATATGTCGACCACTATTCAACTCAACGTTAACTGAATAAACTAATTAAATCAAAGTTCTACTAAATAGTCGATTCTGACATTTTCTATTAGAAGTGTTAACAGTTATGTCTCCTTTAAATATGTTAAAGGTGTGTTTCTGTCTGTATCACATGGTAAATACAGCAAAATAAACTCTTTACTTTACATTTATTTCCCATTAATTCCCATTGAAAGTTTCCACCTCGACTACTCTCGGACCCCTGGTGTTTATAGCAGTAACGTGTTCGGTGCTGGACTCACACAGGTGAGCTACCCACCAGCTAATACAGAATAAACCTCTTTACTCCAGTAACTAGACGTTACGTTACATCAAAGTATCTCAGCTTTTGGTTAAACTCGTGCGTCCGTACCTTGACCCGCGCGGTGTCTTGTGGGAAGTTGAAGAACCTCTTCGGTGGTCGGTTGAAGATCCCCCGGTTGACGTTCGTCACGCGGTTCTGACACCCGGACACGACACACTTCACCATGTTAACGCTGACCCGAACCGACCCGGGCTAACGGTGCATCCGCGCTCCCCCCGTGTGTATAACCGATAACAACACCCGCCGCCACAACGCGACCGTCCCGGTTTGTTTACGTCGTGCTTCGTTGTTGTTTTCCAAACCGGAAAGGGCGTGTTTATGAACCGGAAATACAACAAAGGAGGGAAATATAGCAGAGCGCGCCAATGTGGCGCCACCTAGTGTCTGAGAACCGTTATTACACATATTTAGACTATAGGAAATTACAATAAATGTATTTTTTTTTGTCATTATCTACTGATTTACTTGAATAACTTATAAAGACACAACATTAACTATCTAAATATCATATGTTGTTTTTTATTTTCAATATGAGACTAAGTGACACTGAAATATTAGTTTTAAACTCCTTTCCCTTACAACAGACCATATTCTGCACTAAAATATAAACTGTTTATATTGTTATAAACAGTGATAAGATGTAAAGCCCACATTGACTCATGTACTGTATATTAGTACAAATGTAACATACCTGTATTTTCCTTGAGTGTTTCATTTTATGGTGCTTTATACTTCTCCACTAAATCTCATATATATATATATATATATATATATATATATATTTACCTGTTACTTGTTGTGGAGTAATTACATGCTTTTACTTATGTAAAGGATCTGAATACTTCTCATTATTGGCTATATTAGAATATTGACGTATTTGATCAGAAGTATAGTGATATCTGTCAGTAACACCCATCCTGCCCGCTGTGATTCATCTGCAGCAGGTTTTCAGCTTCATAGAAACTATTTGAAAGTACAACAGCTGCATCGAAGGAAGGATAAAGCTAAAGCATGCAATCCCAAATATCAGCTTCAGAAGAAGAACGGGTCGTAATCAGTGTCGCAACACAAGATTTATTCAGAGCAAGAGATGCCAACACCAGCATGATAAAAATTGTACAAACTTCACAAGTCAAATTAAAATATCACGTAGCGTATCTGGTGACCTTAAACATACAGCAAAAATATCAACAAAACCCATGCCATGTGGTAAGAAAACTGTTGTTGAAAGTTTGCGAGTAGCACAGAAAAAAAGGGGTAAAAGGAGAGAAAATGAATGTTGTATAAAAACCCCTCATCGGTGCACTGCTGGAAAGAAACTAACATTTTCATAAACTGATGATTTCACAAATATTCATATGGATTTCTTTTGCATTCTTAGCATGTCACATGTTAGTGTTGAGATTCTCTATGTAAATAGTTACAGTTTAGCTTTCACATCTGATTTTACAATATCTAGTCTATTGACTGTCTTTAAGTGGCAGAATTGTGCTTTAACTCCCATTTCCTTTGTTATCAGTCAGCATAACTGACTAAATAAAAATACAAGCTGTCAGTCTATCTAATGCAGTAGTTCACTGGCAGGAAGCTGCAGACACAAAGCTTTGGACAGAGATGTGAAGAATGAGGCTTTTTCAGTAAAAGTCCAAAGAAGAAGCATCTTTAAAGGAAAACTCCCCCAGCTGGCAGTTTGGTGATTGTTTTTCCTTCTTAAAAAAGAGTCACCAATCAAATGTGGGCTGAAGATTTGGCTGAAGTCAGAGATGGTGAACTCTTGATTTTCCTCTTAAATTTCTTTAAAATTACAAAAATGTTTCCAACACATTGGAGCTGTGTAACTCATGAATCTAAGTTTGGGGCTGCTTCTTCAATTCAAAGGGTCAAAAAGTACATAATGTTCAGTTTTCAATTATTGGCAGAGGACAAGTGCACAAAACAGAATTTTAAGCTCTGCGATTGGATGCGTCTCCTCCAAATGCACCTTGGGAGTTTTACTCAAATGAAACAATGCATTCATGGTTTAAAGTTTTCATTTGCAACATTGTTTTAGATGGTTAACAATGGAAAATATCTGATGCTAAATAACGTGTAATGTTTTTCTGTAATTTAGTGTAACGTTTGAGACAGGAGCTTGTCAGTGTGGTTCAACACTCTTTGTCTTTTAAAATGGGTACTGGAGTGGTGGAGGTTTAGACTTCAAGGGGACCATGAGGGGGAGTTTTCCTTTAAATAACAAATCAACTCAGAGAAAATTCTTCCAGGAATCTTTCAAACAATCACCAGCACAAAGTCTTGTCAAAGTCACAGTTTCCACAAACTCGCTGTACAGTTTTTGCTTCATTTACCACGTGATAATACTTTGACATACTCCAATAAAGTGCATGCATGATCGACGGTGTTCAGAAAACATTGTTCCATCAGTACTGTGATTTCGGACTGAATGTCATCGTAAAGGCCGATTCACATCGAATACTCAGTCGGTAAAGTTCAAGTGCGCAGACGTCGCGTTACGACTGCTGGCTCTAGTTTTTATTCATCTTTTCAATCAACAATCAAAGATAATTAAAAAAAGTGCTGCTTGGTCATCATGTTGTCTGGCATCCCGTCCCGCTGTGTGCTCACACAGCGGGACGCATGATTGGAAAGACGTTTTCTACAGAACGAGTGCAATATACAATGACGGATGGGGACGTTTGACCCTGTAAGTCCAGAGGAGCCGTCAGCCTTTACAAAGAAAAATCATCTCTACAAATCCTTTCGCCTGCCAAGTGCCTCTTAAATGACAATAAAAACATCAAAACATGGAAACAAAGGTGTCCCTGTGCAAAGTCGAACATGACTGAACCAAAGTCCTTTCACCCGCGTCAGATTCCTAAAACATGATTGTAGTAAAAGGTTTGTACAAAACGCAATACATTTATATTTAGTAAAAAGATCTATCAGCTCTTTGCTAGTTTTATTCATAAGAAATTGCATATACCCAAACATTATTTTTCATATAGATTGCATCCCATATCCAAACAAACGATTTAAGATTATCATACCAATATTGCTGACACGTTGTCCTAATAGCTATAGTTCAAGGTTGATGATTAAAGGATTCAGAATGGCAGATTGTCTCCTACGTTTTTCTGAAGCCTTTTTGTCTTTTCCCGCTTCGTTCTCCACACCAACAAAACAAAACAAAGCGACAGAACAGGACAGTTTGAAACGAAACAACTCCGAAGGGGATGATGGGATTTGCACCAGTAAGTTTCCGTGTCATGATGTTTGAAAACCTTCCTGCTTATAGCATTGGTTCTTCTCGTAATTTTAGATTTACATTAATATTAACATCCACTTTCAAACTTTACAAAATGAATGAATCACATCTGTTAAACGACCTCCAGCTTCTCAGCTCGTCTCTTCAATGATTGCTCTCAGGTTCCCCCCCCTCGTCGCTCTGCTCCCCGTTAAACCCGTGACGCCCAGTTTTTTGATGTATCGCGTTAAATTATAGAAATGATTCAAGCTTACAATAAATAAATACATACATATACACTAGAATGTGCATACATTAGCAGCTATAAACAGTACGTCACATTATATTAGGTCATATGAAAATGTACAAAACGTGAATGTTTGTTTAAAACATTGGTAAATTGTTTTTCAAAGCAAGGCAACGACAATCAAAATGATAAAAAACAGAGATACCCATGGAGTTGAGAGCATAACAGCAGAAGAATTAAAATAACTATGTTAGATTACAGCAGCAAAAAACAACCCATTCCCTTCTTTTAGACTTTTTTTTCTGTTGTTGTTTTTGCTTTGCATTTGTTATTTCGGCCTCAGTCAGAGCTACACCTGGATACCCTGAACGGCCTGTTTGATGTTCTCCAGCAGCGCCTTGTTCTCCGGGCTCTGGTACTGGTCCTGGTGAGTGTACATGTCTGTCAATGTACTCACATAAGTGTCAAAGTTCTGTTCACTCATTGGCTCCTGAGAGAGGAAAGAAACCCATGAAAAAGAAGAACAGTCAGAGGGATTAGAGTTTGTGTTTCTTGACAGTCAGTATATATTTTCTCTATAAACATTGTGGGGGAAGGGTTTGGAAGAAGAGCGGGCAGCAAGGAAGGAAGGAAGGAAGGAAGGAAGGGAACACCTCGCTTACACAAACTCACTGAAATACTCCTTTCTTATTATGTTATGATTATTATCTATACTTCATCCTGTGAAGGTCTACGCAATGCAACTCCAAACCATGCAAAAAATTAGGAGCGGAATGGTTAGCTGGTGGATGGATGGAAGGTTAATGTTTAGCATATGGAGACAAAAGGATGTTAAAAACTAATGGGTTAATGGTCCGATGAGGGAGACACAACTGGGAGTTAACGTTAGCTGAGCCGACTGGGAGGTTTTGGGCGTGAAGATATTTCTCAAAGACAGAGCAGCTTTGGCTTCAAACATATTGTTATTGGTTGAGTTTGACCTCAGTGTCAAACAACGTTAGTGTTGTTAAAACATGATTTCTGTTTGTGTGGAATGACCACAGTTTGTTTTGCATGTGGCGTCCCACAAGGCTCGATTTGAGGCCCAGTTATTTTTGTTCAATATGAGCTTTCTCAGCCCAGTATCCCCAAAAGTGATTGTCTATACAAACATTTCCAGCATCTCATGATTTACGTCCAATGCCAATGTTCACAGCTAATACAGGAAGTGGAGTGCCTTAGGTAGAAAGTAAGGCTGTGGAGCTGGTTGTGTGGCACACTGTATTTTTGTTATTTCATCATTTCTCTTTTTGTGTAATACATCTGTATTTCATTCTTATTTGCATATTCCTGAAGGTTTTCCATGCACCCAATTGCACTGTGTTCAACTGCTCAACCAATCCCATTATTTCCTGATTTGAAATATGTTAAAATGTTGGCATTGTACGTTTCTGAAAACTACGGATACATTGAATGTTAATGTTTTTGCATTCTGTCAGAGCAAGTGACGTAGTGTGATGGGCAACAGTTATTGAATTCTACATGGTATAATAAGTATAAGAAGCGAGAGAGTTTACAAAAGGACTTGTGGGAGAGGTGGTTGACTAGTCAAACAAACAGGACTTTAACCCCCCAGGACACCGCTGTTTGTGTCCCCTGTAAAACTAAAAGTAAACATTTTCGCTTTTTTCGTAACTTTATATAAGCTGCTAACATTGCTACGCTTGCTATGTGACATTACGTAAGAAAGTCTGCAGGGCAGTTGTTGTTTATTTGTAGTAATTATGTTGTGACAGTTATTATTTCAACAAAAAAATTAAACCCTGATTTTTTTTCTGACATTAATCAAATACTTTTTTGACTGAACCTCGTCAATCGCTTCACAATGTTAGCCTCGAGGCATTGTACGTTTCTGTAAGCGTGAAACAAAACTGATAGAAAACGTGTTTACAAAGCTTAGTTTTGATTCACAGACGCCTACATTCAACGAATCGAATGGTTTGCAAAAATGTAATTTGGTAAAAATCAACACACATCTGATTGTTTTTATCTGGAATGGTCCACCAGTAGGTTAGCTACTGTTAATGTCACTATTGAATCCACCAAGTTACAGTCTGCAGACGCCACAGTGAGCTAAAGGAGCTTTAGGAAAGGGAGGGGGGAGGGGGGGGGGGGGGGGGGGGGGGGGGTGTGTGTGACAGTGCAGAAGAGAAGGATAATTGGATAAAGGATAAATGGATCTCTTACTCTGGGAGGCATCTGTAAACAGCAGTTATGCTTTACTGGGGCCTCTTTCTGTGGCGGTGGTTTCTACAGGAGAGGGTGTACAGAGAAGTCTATTAGCCCGCTAGACACATGGCAGCGTCACACGGCTTCTTAAGCTACACCCAGAAAAAAAACAAAAAAACACAACGTCCGCCTTAGCAAGTCCTTCCCCCTCCTGCTCTGTTCACACCGCAGCTGAAAGTCTCACAGATTCTGATTTATTAAAACCAAAAAAAAATTCTCTTTGAGCACTCAAATCAAAATCAAAAGTCAATTATTAACCATGAATTTGGGGAGAGAATAAAATAAATTGTGACACCATAAAGTTTGCTCGTACTGTAAGTGATCTTTAGTGAAACAAAAATGGATATCACCTATTTTTGTTATTATTATTATTATCATTATTATTAATATTGGGTGTATCTTATATCCTACAACACATGTGAACATTTGCTCAAAAGTTCTGCAGTGTGAAGGGAGCCTTAGATTTAGTTTTCCTGAAAACAAGAAGGGAAAAATTCCACAAAAGTCTCCACTCACGCAAATCAACTAATTTGAGGAAAATCGTGTGACTATCTGAAAAGAAGCAAGAGCTACAGTATATTAAAAAATAAATAGCATCCAGTGAGCAGGATTTAGAGCTCATTTCATGATGGACATCTTTCTTGCAGTGTGATATGAGGCAAACCCGCACATGACTAGAAGCACAAGAAGCTAAGAGTCCAGTTATCAAGTAGCTCGGGTTCATACTGCTCAAAGAGAGAATATCCAACTAGCCCCAGTCTTCTTTCTACACCGAGACGACATGACGTCAAAACAGCCGTGTGCGCTTCACTCAAACTGAAAAAGAGACGCGGGGATGTTTCTTTATGCGAAACTCTGTGAGGCATTGTCAAGCACAGAAGAAGCACAGCATGGACTGCTGGGGAAAAAAGAAGAAGGTGACGAACTGAAAGAAGCAGATGAGTAAAAAAAACCTGAGTGTCAGATCAGCTCGGATCTTTTTACTTTCTCACAAAGAGATTTCAGTGTTTGAAATAAAGCTGGAAACAAATTTAGCACATTAAATATGGAACAGACAAACATCTGACAGAAGCTCTGAACTCCCTTCGGATAAATTGACAAAATTAAATTAATCTTTTATTTCAAGTTTAAAATTCAGCAAATTTGTCTGTTATTTAGTCGTAAAAAATAAAAATTCTTCAATGCAAGAGCAAAAGAATCTGACAGTACTCATGTTTTGATATACGACAATCATCTATAACAAATCTAAAAACAACATTTACTTAGTGAAACGAGATCCACTCTTCTGCAGTTTATCCATTTGTTATAGAACGGTGTTTTAAGAATATAATAGAAGATTAAAGACAAATTTGTGTCCCTCTGGAAATTTAGTACTACTTACTTCGTACTTTTGCCGTTGCAGGAATTAACGTAGAGTTCAAACAATCCCTTCATTCAATCATGTCCAATCCTGACAATATTTCTACCTAAATGGCCAAATTTGACTTTTCACTGCACTTGTTCTCAGTAAATAATTTAATTGCCTGAAGGATTATATGTTTGTTAAATGGAGGAAGAAAGCAGCTACCTGTAGACACCAGCTACCAACTAGTTCTAGAATGATCAATAAGCTCTTATTTTGAAGGAAATTTATTGACCTATTACCTACCAAAATAAAAGTTTAGAGGATTCTTACATTTTATTTCTTAAGATTTGAGATCATTTGACTGAAATGAATCTAAAGCAAAGCTGATGATGAAAGACAATATTACTTTAAGTATTTCTATTTGAAGCCTAAGACTGTAAAAAATATCATCCTTAACAAACCGTTTGCCTGAAGGTACAGTCAACTTATTTCTTACCATGTGTGGAAGCTGGATGTTTGCTAAGCTGTTGATGAGCGACTGGCTGAGGTTGGCCAGCTCGTGCAGCAGCGAGTCGTTCTGCTGCTCGATCACCTTGTTCTCATCCTCGATGGACTTCAGGCTGGTCTCCATGGTGGTGATCTGATAGACGAGGAAAGTAATCATCAGCAGCAGGTACTGTTTTTGATGGCGGTGGGATTTATTGGAGAGATGACGGGGAATGAGTGCAAGATCATGAAAGATGTCTGTTGTGGTACTAATATAAATGTATTATACTCACTAATCTTCTTAACAGAAATACTGATTTTAATTACTAACTAATTCCCTTGGCTTCTACTTTGCCATTTCCTGATCACTTGCTGCAGATGTGTCAGATTAAAAGCATACCCAGAAAGCGCTAAAATGCTGCAGAAGGGCTTTTATTATGAAATATCTGTACAGGTGTTGAGTTTCATGATAGTTCTTTAACACCAATCAAAAAAACAAAACAAAGTAGAATCAGTTGGATTTAACTAGTAAATAAAAAACAGTATTTCTGTGAGAAAATCCACATTATATTAAATTGACCAAGACAACAGGTCAACATGGATGAAGTAGTTTGAAATTTGGAGCAGATAAAAAAAGATGTCTGACTAAAATAAGCTATATAACATGGGGGGGATTCAGGAATAAAGGAATGTCTCTAATGCAAACCTCTTTTGAATAAAGGTCTAGTTGTCTCTTTAGTTGAGGTAAACGAAGACCTCGATGCTAACTGAGAAGTTTGTTCTCTAATTTGGAAGATCTTCCACGTAAAATGCTGCATCATCTGTGAAACGTCGGCAGTGAAATATAAGGACTCCCTGTCTCTCTGCTTGTGCTGTAGTGAATTCTCAAATGCTCCACTCACATGAATTATGTTCCATATCCGATATAAACCCTTAGCACTGTCTGGTTTATTTGTATACTTCATGTATTTATACTACAGTAAACACACACTCAGAAGCCATCTTACTTGTGTCCTCAGTTTTATCATGTCGGACTCGACTGCAGTGTTGGACTCGTTCAGATCTTTGATTTCTTCATCCAGCTGTTTGATTTCTTCATCGTTTTCGATGCCTGACACAAAAAATTCATTAAATTCAGATATGTTCTTTCCCTTCCTTCTTCTCTGTTTCTGGTTCTGGTTTGGCTCTGACCTTTGCTTGCTCTTTGCTTGATTGTCAGCATTTCCACCCCGCTCATCCTGGCCTTCTTCATGGCCGAGGTGGCACGGGGACACCCGGAGAGACTGGAATAAAATGCACACATTGACGAAAACTTGCCTGCGATAAGTTATCAATCTGCTGCAAGTTTACAAGTGCGTGCTAGCTGATTCTAATTTTCACATGCGTAAATGAACAGGAAGGAAATCAATCTACGTGCATTATGATTTGCAAAATGGTCATCAAGATAAGCATTGTAGAGCAGAGGAAAACTATCAATGAAAACTGTAATAACAACAAATTTGTGTGATACAGTTGAAACAGAATGACACAGAGCCACGCCCACCTCCGATGGGTCAGGAAGCTCCCACTGACGTGTCCCGAGCCGTCGCAGCCAGGCGTCGGGCAGCTCATGCCGTCCGTCTTGCCAGATTTCCAGACAAACTGCGAGCCGTTGACGTAGCTGTCCTTCTGCCTTTTTGCCGCCAGGGGGCAGCCTGACGCGCTGCGGTGGGAGGCGTACTTCCCCGTCACATGACCCTGTCCGTCACAGCCCGGCACCGGACACCTGGGAGGAAGAAACAGAGTTGACAAAGTGATCGAGATAAGAAAACCCATCACAGTCAGCAGTTGGTTACCTTGTTTTTTAGTTTTTTTAACTTGAGCTTTCAAAAGTTTTATCAAATCTTCTCAAAGCAAGAAACAAATTCAAATTCATGCCCTGTTGCCTACATACTCTCCATTTATATGCAGACAACAAGGAAGTAGTTTGTTTGTAGTCCGAGTAGCATTGCTAATTGGACTGTAACCAATGGCCGTCGTATGGAGGAGGAAGTCTTGGCTTCACCAGAACCCCTGAAATATTGGCAGTTGCCCCCAGAGGCCGAATCGTCCTCAGACCGGGAGACGATGGGTTGCAAAATTGTACAAATACTAATTGGCATTGCATACAATTTCTGCAGGTTGTATACAAAAAAAAGTGAGACACTTTTAATTTCTTTACTTACAGGAAATGACGCGACACATATGCAGCAGCATATCAGTCGAACTGAGACTTTGAAATGCCAGGGAGAAATCCAAATGTTTCCTCAAAGAGAGCTGTGAATGGTGCTTGTTTTCAATGAGGTTACCGAGCAATGATACAACGAAATCTCATCCCCGCTCATCGTAGTTTGCCGCTTGGGGAAAAGACCACAGCCCTTTGCGTAGTAATGTTTGCAGTGGAGATTAGGTTTAGGAAACAAAACCACTTAGTTAGGGTTAGAACGAAGATCATGGTTTGGCTTAAAATAAGTATGTTTGTACCAACATAACATCAGAAAAAAACACTCCACTTTTAATTTCACACAAGACATGAACACTGGTCTCCTGAGTAAAAGTTCTGTATTTGCTTGCGACTGACCACCAGGGGACGACTCCTCCGGTTGCAAAAAGAAGTCTGATTGTATGGAAGTCTATGAGGTAATGACTCTACTTGTCACTTGATTTATTACCTCAGTAAACATTGTAAACATGAGTTTATGGTCTCAATCTCTATAGTTTCAAGTCTTCTTCAATACAGCATGATATTCAAAACAAACAACATGGCCACGGCCATAATCCAAAATGGTGAAATCCCCAAACTTGAGGCTTCAAAACATCAGTCCACAAACCAATGGGTGACGTCCTGATGACCACGTCCACTTCTTATATACAGTCTGTGGTTTGTCCGTATTCAGATGTCGAGGGGCGCTGACTGGACTGAAACCAGGTTGCAACGATAACGTAACTTTGACTAAACTAAATGTTGGTTATGATGTATTATCCAAGTTTGACGTCTCAAGCTGGATTTAATGGGAATAAATTAATTAAAACCAATGGTTGTCTGAAAGGAACAAAAGCTAAAAACTGATAGTTGGAAAATGTTTTCACCAAAACTAGATGCCTATAAAAAACATCACTTTATTTCTTTTGACCTCTGCATTTAACTCATTCTAAGCATGAGGAGCAACTTGGGGTTCAATGTCTCGCCAACCACCAACCATGTGATTGAAGGACAAAGCGCTCTAGCCACTGAGCTACAGCCGCCCCCAAAAGCAAGGCGTAGCTGTTGAGCTAAACGTGATAATACTGCTCGCTCTGCAGATGACACTCCGCTCTTCCTCCTGTATCCCAGAACGCCCTTTGCAGTGACATTTGTGCTGATTAGAATGAGCCGAGCGTTGGCGGGCCGCTCCCTAGCCGAGCTCCGGTTTTAGCTTAATTATGATTCCGCAGTTAACGATGATGGTGGAGGGAACGGAGGTAGCAACAACAGCTGGCTGCAGACTGACACCAGCTGAACTTATTATTCACAAGGTCATATTGGCTTAACATTATGGCTCTGCTTTAAGGAAAATGTCAAGTGCTCACTAGTGCTAACCTTTAGTGCTCTCGGCCTGCAGGGAGCGGGAGGTGAAGTGGAGGACTGACCACCGCTCATCTCTAAAATATGCTTCCCTAAAGTTAGAAAGGTCAGCGCACACAGGCAGCATTTTAAGAGAGAGAAGATGAATCTGTTAATATGACAGAGAGACGTCACTGTAATGTGGCTGCTACGATTTATATATACACACCTTTAACACTAAATATGAATCTTTTATTCATGAAGTTAACAACTGTGACATACACTAAGCTCGGTAGGTTTCAATGGGCAGAATTTCTGAGACACTGGCATTTTAAAATGACTCTTCAAACTAGTGCAGGACAATTAATCCTTATTCATCGAGCATTATCATTGTAAACTGAATATCTCAGGGTTTTAGAATGCTGGTCGAACAAAACAAGCAGAGAACTTGCAATGGGTATTTTTCACCATTTTCTTACATTTGATATGCTAAAAAATGTATCAATCGATCCTCAATAATAATGACAATGATCGATCAATCATTGATAATAATTGTGTTTACTCAATGCGGTAATTTTTACCCATAAATTACTGAATTAATTTCCTGAAAGCTTTTATATCAACAATGGGTCAAATGACTAAATGCATGTGAGAATTATTTTTCAAAAACGGTATTCAGTATTCAGCCACTTTGTTCTGACACTTGAAATTCAGCTCAGGTGCCTCCAATTTCTCTTGATCTTCTTTTAGATGTTGATCCACATTGATTGGAGTCCACCTGTGTTAAATCAGCTGATTGGACATGATTTGGACAGACACACCCCTTTCTGTCTATATAACAGCTGACAAGCCATGCGGTTAAAGAAACTCCCTCCAGAGTTCAAAGACTGGATTGAGCCGAGGCACAGGTCCACAAAAAGCCATTTCTGCTGCATTAAAGAAGAGCACATTTGTTTGCTTAATATGTAAAAATGGAAGAAGTTAACAGTCAGGACTCTTCCTAGAGCCAACTGCCCACCTAACTGAACAATTGGGGGATAAAGGTAAAGAGAGGCTGAGCTCCTGTGGGGAGAAACTTCCAGAAGAAAAACCATCACTTCAACCCTCCACCAATCTGGGCTTTATGGCTTTAGTGTCCAGACGGACGCCTCTCGTCAGGGAAAAACACAAAAAGGCTGTTTGGACTTTGTAAAACAGTACCTAAAGTGAGAAGATTATCTGGTCTGGTGAAACCAAGATTGAACTGTTAGGGTCTCAACTTTTAAGTGTCACATCTGGAGGAAACTTTTCCGTGGCAGAAACTGGGGGGACTGGTCAGGGTAAGGTTGAGGGGAAGCCAAACGGAGCACAAAGTACAAAGATGTCCTAAATGCAAACCTGGTCTTAGAGCTTCAGTACCTCAGACTTTTCTGAAACACATGGCGGAGACAAAACGGAGGGACAACTGTGTGAATGTCCTTGAGAGAAGACCGGCTGAAAATCACCAAATCCAGGTGTGCAGAGGTTGACTCCAGGCGGCAACCTCTGGTTCTGATGAGTGAAGCCAATGCGGAACGGAAGTGTTTTAAAAGCTGCATTCTCTCTACTAACAAGCAGGGGGCGACTCCTCTGGTTGTATAGAAGTCTATGAGAAAATGACTCTACTTCTCTCTTGATTTATTACCTCAGTAAACATTGTAAACATGAGTTTATGGTCTCAATCTCTAGTTTCAAGTCTTCTTCAATACAGCATGATGTTCATTTAGTACATTATGGTCCATTTAGAGTCAAACAGACCATAAAGCAGGGGATGCTTTAGGGCGGGGCTACACCGTGATTGACAGGTCTCTACCAGAGACGTATACGGCGTCTCTACATCACTCCTCCTCAGTCCAAATATGGTCACTTCCTGTTCACTGGTTGCAAAAAAAAAACATAACGGCTGTTTCACCGAAAAATCACCGAACTCGAGGTTTCATAACATCAGTTCACAAACCAATGGGCGACGTCGCGATGACTACGTCCACTTTTTATGTACAGTCTATGATTGACTTATCATACCCAATAAGACTTGACGCTGTAATCACCACCAACAGTGCTTTAATTAAAGTATATTGAGTCCGAATACTTAAGTCAATGTAATATTTCTTCTATTTTATTTTTATAAACATGGAAAAATTCTTAAATGCTGTGTTGCCTTTGTCATCATGGGGAACAGATTTTAGATTTAGGGGGCTTTACCAGCCTGCAACTTATTCACACTTAAAAAAGCAACTTCATTTCACAATGAGGTCTTTTTTTCTGAGCTTTAAGACCGTGAATAATGTTGAGCAGAGCGGGATAAGTTCCACCTGTATCTATTAAACATCTACTCCTTTCAACCAGATCTACCTCTTCAGTTCTTACCTTTCACAATAAAGACATCAAATATTTGCAGACGAGTATTTTGCATTTTGGTGTTGTTTATTATTAATAATAAATGTCCTCAAAATACAAAACGTTGCTCTGAAATTAACTCAACATTCTAAAATTAATAGCGTTAAAAAATCGTCTTCACTCTGTTTTTCCTTGTCCTCTCTGTCGCAGACTGCTTGGTTTTAATAGGGATTTATTCTGGTCTTGGACTGAGAAACTCCAGGTTTTGCCTGTGAAACTGAACACTGACTGGATGTGATGAAGGTATATGAATGTCGTCCATGAGATAGAGGTGAGGAGGTAGTTTGAGAGCATCATTTAGTGAATAGAGGGAATCAAATTAGCATATTGACAGTAAAAATGACTAATTAGATGGTTAGACTTCTCATAATTCCCCTCCTGAAACTTCCCTCATTTCAAAGCTTTAAAGAAACCTTACTTGATTGGCTCCTGGTCGTCCTTGTCCTCTTTGCTGTGGAGTATTTTGATGCCGCTCTTCTTGGCTCGTGGACAGCCGGACAGACTGCAGGACAGAAGACAAATTGTACAGTGAAGTACTGTATTTGTTTCGTTTGTAGCTGCTCGGAGTCCGAAGCGCGATTACTGTTACCTTCTGTGGGAGGCGTAGTTTCCAGTGATGTGTCCAGATCCATCGCAGCTGGGGGTCGGACACCTAAGGCACAAACACAAGGGTTAAACAGCGACTTGGTCTTCAACCACAGACTAGACCCCCCAATTGGACTCCAGACTGCTCAGACCTGGTCTTGTTTAGTGGTCTGGAGTGTTCTGAACATGCTCAGAATTATTTATTGGCGCCAATTTTCACACTCACAGACTTTTAAAAAGTGGACGTAATCATCGTGACATCGCGCATTGGTTTGTGGACTGATGTTATGAAGCCTTGAGTTTGGCAATTTTCCTGTCGCATCTTGGATTACGGCCGTCGCAATGTTGTTTTTTTCGCAACCAGAGAACAGGAAGTGACCATATATGGACTGAGGAGGAGTGACGTAGAGACACCGTATACGTCTCTGGTAGAGACCTGTCAATCACGGTGTAGCCCCGCCCTAAAGCATCCCCTGCTTTATGGTCTGTTTGACTCTAAATGGACCATAATGTACTAAATGAACATCATGCTGTATTGAAGAAGACTTGAAACTAGAGATTGAGACCATAAACTCATGTTTACAATGTTTACTGAGGTAATAAATCAAGAGAGAAGTAGAGTCATTTTCTCATAGACTTCTATACAACCAGAGGAGTCGCCCCCTGGTGGACATTAGAGAGAATGCAGCTTTAAGACACTTCAACATTGACTTCACTCGACAGAACCGGAGGTTGCCGCCTGCGTTAAACATGGTTACCAGTGGAAGCCGGAGACATAAAAAAAATAAAGGTAAACAAGCCTGGCTAACTAAATGTACACAGAAACATTAAGGATTAAAGATGAAACATAAAGATGAAACACAATGGGTCTGGGTCGTGGACTTTGTAGACTCACCTGAGGTCCTGAGAGTTGGTCGTCATAATCCCGCGGATGTTCTTGTCGGCCAGCTGGCAGCTTGACAACCTGCAGGAGGGAAAGAGACACAAACTGAACTCCAACAACAATTTAACGTGATTCTGAATTTTGCCTTCAGATTAAAACATTGTTAATGTTTTTCAACCTTTTCAACAATAAGTTCAATTCTCTTATGCAATTATTTTCCCCAATAGTAATTTTATCACTAAAAACATGTTGAAATGGATTTTTTTCATGGCTGTTGACAGTATTTTTTATTTATTTAAGGAGTGATGCAAAGAGATATCCTAAAGTCCCTCTGTAAAAACATTTGACATATGTCAACAAAATTAAACAACAATTTTGAACCTGGCTTCATCCAATGTTCAGATTTATGTTTTAGAAATGTATCCAAATGAGCACATATTTAATAATATAATGCTTCATGCTATTTAAACAGAACATTTAAGAAAACATCATGTCAGTAATCAATGGGGAGGTTTCATGGTGATATCATTGGTTAATTATTTTTACCCCTCTTAAAAGGAGTATTTTCTGTTTTTCTTTTGCCCTTTTCTTCTTTTGTACTGCTGGCTACTGTTCTAAATGTATGTCTGTAAGAGCACATCTTCAAGGCCAGCTTCCATTGAAGGGAAAACAAAGTGAAGTACTTGTACGACAGCGCTCTGCGAACGTGGTACGAGTGAGTCTTACGTGATGAGCTCCTTCTTGCCCTCCTTGCAGGCCGGGTACTTGTGGTGTTTGGGGCTGGGCATGGTGACCTCGGCCGGGTAGCGCTGCTCGTCCAGCAGCTCCTGGAAGGGGTCCAGCTCGTCGCTCTGGTGCAGGGACGAGAAATACGCAGACTACGACACGTCACTACGGACTCCATGATTAACATGAATATTCATCTTATCAAGTCATTTTATGTGAGGTTTTTCTAGTTTAATCTCACTTTTCTTGCACAATTTAGTTTGAAAGAAGCAAAACTCACTGGTGGATTTTTCCTTTGCTAGAATTATCTGTTATTTTATCCTCCTGTAGTACTCCATTCATAATTAATTTCCCCTTAACCTCTAATGGGGACATATGAGTGATCACATTTGTTAAAGCCTTTTTTTTAAGCCATTTAAAACTTTTAAATGTCACTCAAACACAATAAACATCATTCTGCTCACTGCCAAACTTCAGCAAAATAACCTACACTGTTTTGGTGTTTATTCACCGTGTGTATTAGCAGCTTTTCTGATGATTAAAATGCACCGCTGTGTTTCCACAGTTACATACAAAAAGTCCCTTTTTTGAAATTGTGATGTTTAGACCTCCGTAGCTATTCTCAGTGTGTTTTGTAGTTTGTTTTTATTGCACAAAAAAGGCAGGGCGTATTAGTGACAAGAAATCAATGACCAAGAAGCTTTTAGGTGTCTTTAAAAAGAGTGTAAATGAGACGACCAAGCGTCCTCAGTAGAACACTAGTCCTCCTTTAGCTTAGTGGTGGAGACGTGAAGTCATGTGACCGTGGTGGAGTTCCTTTACAGACTAACGTGAAGTCACGTGACCGTGGTGGAGTTCTTTTACAGACTAACGTGAAGTCACGTGACCGTGGCGGAGTTCCTTTACAGACTAACGTGAAGTCACGTGACCGTGGCGGAGTTCCTTTACAGACTAACGTGAAGTCACGTGACCGTGGTGGAGTTCCTTTACAGACTAACGTGAAGTCACGTGACCGTGGCGGAGTTCTTTTATAGACTAACGTGAAGTCACATGACCGCGGCGGAGTTCTTTTATAGACTAACGTGAAGTCACGTGACCGTGGTGGAGTTCCTTTACAGACTAACGTGAAGTCACGTGACCGCGGCGGAGTTCTTTTATAGACTAACGTGAAGTCACGTGACCGTGGCGGAGTTCCTTTACAGACTAACGTGAAGTCACGTGACCGCGGCGGAGTTCCTTTACAGACTAACGTGAAGTCATGTGACTTTTCTTCATGTTATATGTGTATTATTTGATTACTCCTACACGTGGCAATGCTTCAGTGAGATAAATCAGCCCCAGTTAACCAGTTCAAAGTTCTCCTGCACCAGTTGGACTTGGTGATCGAGAGCCTTTTGTGGCAGTGAGCACTGCAGTCTGCTCTGCAGTCCACACATCACACCTCCTCAGTTGGGAGCAGAAATCGTTCAGGACTGTCTGGAGAGAAAAAAAATCCCATCAGCCGGCGAGCTCCAGGCTGCGGCCTCCTCTGCAACGTCGTGCTTCATTAACGAACGCAATTACTCTCCTGATTAAAAAACCTTTCACTCCGGCGCTCCGAATCCAACGAGGCAAGTGTAGCAATTTGCTGCATGGATTGCTCTGTGTGATATCAGATCTACGAGGATTTTACAGCGTGCAGAGGATCTATCGTGTTTAACTTATGTATTAGTGGTGTAATTCAGCATTTTAATGCACCACGCTGGAGCTCCTGGAGCGTTCATTCAGAGAGCTGCTGGGTCTGAGACGACGCAGTGCAGCTTCTGTACCACACGAGGGCGCACTCAGCCCGCTGGAGGGACGACCGCAATCCCTCCCATCAATTTATCCAACTGCTGAAAGTTTCATTTTAAACTTAAGTGAAAGACAAAAGTAAGAATCCTTTTACTCACAAAGTAAAAAAATAAATGCTATCACATTTATTTTGACTTGGAGAAATGCCCTTAAGCTTCAGAGGTTTTCTGAAGATAAAAATCCTAAATGCTTTGGAGCACAAAAAAAGTTATTTGAAGATACATGCATAATTAGCATTATTAGCAGCACAGCACTAAAGCTGGCATTGATTTAGTTTGCAATCACTTTTCACACATCTTCATTGGCTGCACTTACTTGCTGGAATCACATATATTTTTGGCAGAATAACGTATCACTGAGTGAAATGTAAGAATGTTAAATGTATTGACAATGGAGCCGATGTAAAGTCAATTTCTGGTTGTGTCTCTTCTATTTTATGTCTTTCCAGTGACGATGTAAATGATAAGTGCCTGAAATCTGAATTTACTCACCGAGTCTTTATGATACAGTGAGTAGTGGATGAGTGAACGACGGAGTGACTTCCTACAGGATCGACGTGGTCACGTAAGAGTTGCTCTTAAAGGTGCAATGTGTAACATCTGGCCACCTACGTCGAACCATCAGGGGGCAGCATTTCACCTCTGATGGGTCCAGGCAAAATAAGCTTACACTCAGAGGGTATGAATATTAAAAGAAGCCAGCTGCTGACTTAAAGCAGGGAAAGAATACGCCAATATCACCAAACTGCTGAAACTCAGAGACAAATAACACTGGTATCGTAAAATCTTCAGCGTGGCGTCACTTTTTATAGTCCAGCCATCTGTGTGTTTACTGTGACAGTAACTGGTCTGTTTTGATAGTTTGTTTACTGGGTTCAGATCCAAAGTGGAAAGGGACTTTTAGTTAGCTGAGCTGTAGCATCTTGAATTCAGTCACTGCAAACTCCAGCACCGGGGTCTGATCCTGGTGGACCGACCTGACTCCCCGCACTGGATCTTTTTGAGCTAACATTTTGTTTGTGGACGGCCGTTTTAAAGCCTAGAGTTTGCTGATTTTGCTGTCGCCATCTTAGTTTTTGCCACCAGTGAACAGGAAGCGACCATATCTGGACTGAGGAGGAGTGACGTAGAGACGTCGTATACGTTTCTGGTAGAAACCTGTCAATCACCGTGTAGCTCCGCCCTAAAGCATCCCCTGCTTTATGGTCTGTTTGACTCTAAATGGACCATCATTTCCTAATGAACATCATGAACATCATGTGAACATTAGGTGTAATTCTCGGAAGTTTGATGAAAATGGATCAGATTCGATTTATCTTCATGCTGCCCGACATTTAAACTCTCTGCGCTTTCTGTAACACATTGTCTCCTTCTGATATCAATGTTTTTTAAGCTCAATCAACATATTCTCTCTTACAGCACCTATCTTTGTCTCTGGACTTTTGTTTTCTTTCTAAATGATTTCTATTGAGCGGCCCCAGGGTGAGGAATAACATCAAGAACTGAGCTGTGATGTACAACTCTGGCGAGCTCCGTGCCGTTTCTGTGCCTTTGGTTAGTGAAGTTTTACATGAGCAGATACTAGACCTTTCCAAACTCACAAAATTCTCTCCCTTCTATGTAAAGTAATGCAAAAATGACGCCCTCGCAAAATACGTCCACAACTTCTCCTTGTTGCTTTTTTGCTTTGCGTCAGAGGACCAGCATCCCTCTTTAAACAGCTCATAAAGCGTAAGTCATCTCTTAATCTATGCGAGCACCCTTTAACATAAACTCAGGGTTCCTAAAATCTCTCAATTCCATGCTTCATTATCTCCTTATTTTGCATGATTAGGGGACAGGCTGCCTAAATATTAAATTTGGTGGTTAAAGCCTTTAATCATGACTGTAAGGGCGGAGTGTGCAGCCTGAGTGGCATTTAGAGCTTCAATTTGGTCTAAAAATGATTCAATTTTAACATTTTCATTTCACTTATTCGATGCGTACCCTGACATTAATCTTCAAATAAAAAGTTTTAGGTTTACAGTGAAGTGACTCTATTTTCTCTGCCTCCACAGTTTTAAACTTCCGAACGGTTTGAACTGATTGTAAAATAATTACAAGAAGAATCCATTCATGTGTGTCAGTGTAAACAAATATCTTCATCTACAAACTGTTGAGGATCTTTGGATAAAAAAGGCTTTTCTCATCCAGCGGTCATAGCTGCACCTACAAAATTCCTGCGCTGTAATTTGTAGACGAAATCAATTCGTATGTAAACCTCATAATCATGAACCAGGAAGTATGAAGACTGTAAGCACCCCACACAGGGTTGGTTGGAGGGAGGTGAGGTGGACGTGTCTTTCACCCAGGAGACGGCTGTCAGTGCTCGGTGTGAAACGAGAAGTCATCATTGATTTATTTCACGTGACTTCAATACTGAAGTAATGCCACTCGTAGATGTCTTAACCAATAACACAACCTTTTCCTAAACCTAACTAACAATTTGTGTTGCCTGAATCTAACTAACTTGTTTCTGTGAAGACAAAAGATGATTTTGAAAAGACTGTACAGGAGCAGAGACTGACACGTGTTGCTGGACTTGAGTAGTAACTTTTTTGTAAGATATCATAAGAGATAAAAACTCACTGAGGAATCTGTATGTATGACGCATGCCAACGTTTCTACTATAAGTTGTATGAGGACGACGTGGTGGACCGTCCTGTTACCTCTTTGTGGTCCTCCTCGTCCCCCAGGCGTTTGATCTTGGTGTAGTCGACGGGCAGGTCCCAGCAGTCGGCTTCGCTCAGCTGGTAGCAGCGGCTGCTGAGCAGAGCCTGCCGCTGGGGCGACATCGGCTGCAGGGCGGTCAACACCGTCCCGCTGCCCTCCGGCCCGCCGGGCTGACCGGCCACGTCCACCGCACCGCTGTCGTCCAGGTCTCCAACGGGACTCTGATGGAGACAGACGGCGGGGAAAGATCACATGATCACCGGTGTGGTGGTGAAACAAAGGAAAGTGGTTCTGAGGTTTGGTGCAGGACACTTTAAAGTGGTCACAACTCTTCTTCATAAAGTCACAGATTAAATATGAAATGGTCAAAATCAAAGCAGCAGACGCCGAGATGTGCTGGCTTTTAGTTCTTAACACAATCGTCAGACCCTCCCTATAAACGCCAACGTCTTTCAAAGTCCACGTCCCTACTTAAAACTTTAAAAGTTTAACGTCTCTTCGTGGCATCATCACGATTATTTTCTTAACTCTTCACCAGTCAGTTAACTCTCTTCACGTGGCCTAAGAGGTTCTTCAAAATGTTGTTTATTGGCTGATATTTCATCACTAGATGTTTTTTAATACTCTCAAATATCAATATCATTATATCAATCTTAGACTAGGAACTCATGATGCCAAAGTTTCAGTTAAACTGATCGCATATTCAGATAAACAGACCAGCATGAAATCCCCCTTAAAGGGACGATGCCCACTTTATTCCAACTTGGGTCTTATTTTCACATTTCTATCATTCATAATAACTTTGTACTCACCAGGTGGACTGCTGAGATCTGGAAACATGGAAAAACATGGGGGGGGGGGGGAAACAAACAGGTTATCCAGATTATCTAGACAATGTTATTTAGAGGTGATACAGCAAATGTGCGCCCGTGAAGTGTTGGTAATAATCCCTCATTGTAGAGGAAAACGGTGTCAAAGCTGACGTGATGTTTTAAAATAGACAGTTTGGGTAAAACTGAAATGGCGCTCGCCTTCGTCTTCTACAACCTGTCTAGCTGGTGTGCCTTGACTCATCTTTGAAGTTCCCAGATCTCAGCAATTACTTTGGTGCGTACAATGTTTATCATCACTGCCAGTAAAGATGGTCAAAACTAAACTAACACAAGTGTTCATAAATAAACCTGAATCCTTGATGAGCATGAGTCAAACTTTCACCATCTCATTTTTAATACTTTATTTGACAGAATAACCTAAACTTATTCAAATATTGCGATATGTTTTCCTGCCAGTGTGTGTGTGGACGTGACGTGTTGGTGCGTGCCGCCTCACATTACCTGAGTCAGCAGGTCTTGGGGTTTCCCTCCCAGAACGTGTGGGAGCTCCCGGCACCTCGTCGACAGGTTGAGGATGGCCGTGGCCGCCATGTGGGCCGCTTCCATGTCGTGGGTGTAGTCGAAGCTGCTCTTACTGCAGGTACTGCTGGCGCTGCTTCCTCCTCCTCCTCCTCCTCCTCCAACACCTCCTCCTCCTCCTCCAGCGCCTCCTACTCCACAGCTCAGGCTGCTGCTGCTGCTGGGAGCGTAGCTGCTGGTCGTACTGCTGGCCGGGCTCGACGTCTTACAGTAGCGCTTAGCTGCAGGGAGGCACACACAGGGAGGTGCACACACACACACACACACACACACACACACACACACACACACACACACACACACACACACACGTAGGGTTGATTTGTTAGATTGGTGCTGGCGTTCGGCCAAACTGTGCAGCAGATGGATGAAAAATGTACAAAAAAAAGGTTCTGTTCCATTTAAAAATATGCAAAAAAATAGACGGATGAAGGGAAACAGAGAGGCTGGTGATATTTATATAGTGATATTTATTAAGACTCAAATAAACATTTTTTGACGTGATAAACGACATGTTAGGACATCGACCCGTCGAACACACAAGAGAACGACGTCACTGTGAGATTCACTGGTGATGAAGATGAGGAAGAGACATGAGGTCAAAATATGACCGGCTGCATGTAAATGGCAATATTAGTGGAATATTCATTTTCATTCACCATGTAAACAGCTCATTAGGAATATTTGTTTTATTGGTTTTATTGTTTTATTGTTTTGGGGAATTAGGGCAAAAAACAGAATATTTGGTGCATGTAAACATAGTTAATGTTTTAAAGGGGACAACGCATCTTAAAAAAAGAAAAAAACATAAAAAGAGCAAATATAACTTTTGGAGATCCTCCCGATTACGCTTTATTTGCTGCCGATACCAATTTATGATTGTTAATGATCTGTTTTGGCCAATACAGATCGTTTTTGTTGTTTTGTTTCATCCCAAAAATCCTTTAAATCACTCTGAATTCGGTGTAAACCGATCCACGCTTGGTGACTTGCTCCTTCGTCACCATGAACACACTCACATTAGTGTATTTGAACTCAATCCCACATACAAATACTCACCGAATGTGGATTAATCCGCCGCTGAAAATAGTTCCCAACAAATGCACTTTTTCCTCCATTCGCTAAAAACTACAATAACCATCTTTTTTTTGGGGGGGGGGGG